AAATAATAATTTTATTGCACAACATGTACATGTGGTTCAAATGTCAAACTACTGAGAAAGAAATTTTAAAGCACGTTTTGTGCAGTAGTAGTAACTTCGTTTTAAAACAGTACCAATTATGTTCCCATTATTGTAGTTCGACCGTCGCATGTTCGCTTTAACGAAAAGCTTGACAGTGTCTTAAATGAAAACGTTGTTGCAATGGAAGGGGAGTCTCATTGATGGTTGACGACCTGATATGCCGGGTGGAAAGCGTAATTTAAAAATGAAAATTAAAGCCCAAACGGTTACAGTATTTAAGTAAGCGAATAAGAGGAAGCATAAAAAACAACCTGTCATTAAAAGTAATAGTATTAGTAAATTAAAGAAATAATGGTTAGTAATTAGAGACCTAGCAAAGCATTAGAAAAGGTCAAGAGGATTAAGCTTGGATATGAAAAGGCTTTCGCGAATGAGTAAATCAGCTTCAGAACTAGCAGTGGAAAGGATTTTAAAATCAGAGGTTGAAATTTGATGTTGAGTGGTATGGATATCAGCGAGTATGCCTGACATAGTTGAAACAGAATGTTTCTTTCCAAGTCAAAGGTTTTTGTACAGCATTGGAATAAAACTGTCAAAATTGGTAAACAATCCTGTGGAAGTAGATTTATGATGAACTGTGGTAGTGAAAGAACCATAAGAACGAATGACTTTGACGTCTAGAAAAGGAAGGCACAAATTACTTTCAAGCCCATGAGTAAATTGAATGTTGGGGTGTTTTGAGTTGAGATAGGAAAGGAAAGGAGTAACATGGTCGCGTGATGTGAAAATAAGAAAACAATCATCAACATACCGACAGTAGAATATAGACTTAAAAACAGAAGGGCAGTCAGCTAACCAGGATTTTTCATGAAAAGATAGGAATATGTTAGCAAACAATGGGCCTAAGGGTGAACCCATTGCTACACCATCAACCTGCTTGTATAGAACACCATCAAATAAAAATTGGCAATTTTTCACAGAAAGATTTAAGAGTTTATATTTTGTTATGTCTTGTCTGAAAGTCATTTGCTGGGCTTTAATTTTCGACGATATAAAGAAAATGGATCGCTGAATGCCTTCAGGAAATATCAACATTTAGAGTTTAAACTACAGAAGGCGAAGCTTAGGCTGGATCGATATCGCAAATACCGATATACCGCCATCAGAATACCGGTAAATACCGGTATTCCGGTATTTTTAACATGTTTCTTTTTTAAGCCAAACTGAAGTGCTGACCGTCAAGAAAAATCAAGTTTTGACAAAATATTAATGTAGCACATCCTGTTATTAGTGCAAATGTCACAAGATTCACATTATCAAGCTATGTTAACAATTAACAGCGCTAAGCGGCAATTATTAGTAGACCGTCGATTGGGGGTCGAAGTGTTGAATCATTCAGAAAAATATTTGTTTTGTATATAAATTCAGATAGTGTTTCAGTAAGTTGCTAATAGTTATAAACATAAGAAACGTTGCATTTTTAAAACTAACACATAAACAAGTTAGCAAGCATGTAAAAAAACTAGAAAAGCCAGAAAAGGTTTAAATTTCGCCATTTTTATCACAGAATAAGAACCTTTTATATTTCCGATTAAGGCGACTTAATAAACAAGACGTCTGGTATTGCTAAACCAAAGCCGCTAGAACTGTAAGAACAAAATCATGCATCTGTGAGTATTAACTTTGCTTTCTAAACGTGATTGTAAGCAAGTTTGACTTGAAAGAGCGTTTCATTTCGGTATTAGGCAGCAAAATACCGAAATATCGGTATATCGGTATTTTTAAATTGTCAATATCGCCAAACCGGTATCTAAACAAATACCGGTATATCGGATATATCCGGTATATCGATCCAGCCTAGCGAAGCTTGATTTGACCTTTCTCAAGAACTGTAAAAAGATCGAACTCGGTGATCCCAAAGTTTTTGAATTTTAAACTTGCCAACTGTGATCTACAAAATTCAAATGCATACTTACAATGCCAATGCAAGTTATTGAATCAAGAAATATCGATCAAACATTCTAGAATAACTGCCCTATCCCTTGAAGTTACTGAAGCACTCTCAAAGCTAACCGCACTAGTTTCTACTATCGATGCAATACATCTTAGATCTGTTTGTGATCGTGAAAACTCCGCCAAACTACGTCATCATGAAAGAATCCAACAAAAGAAACTTTTTCGTTTGTGTGGTGATGCGTCTAAATCTTCAACACCAGATCCTGACAAAATCATTTTTAATTACTCATCCCGCACATTGACCGACGCTGAAAAGATCCTCCTAGCAAGAGGCCTCAACTTTTCTCTACCACCGCGTCGACCGCATTTTTGTGATTTTCTTGCACCTTTTGAGAAATTATATGGAATCCTAAAGAAAGAACCAATTGCGAAAAACCCGATCAATGGATTTAACGAAGAGTTGATTAACACTCGGATAAAGGATATTGCTTTGATGGGCTACAAAACATACATTCCGCTGAAATCAATCTTTTCCGGTGACAAGTTCAAGATAGGTTGTTTTTTATCCTTCCTCTTATTCCCTTATTTGAATACTGTAATATATATATACACGCTTGTAAATAAGTTTAACCCATTGAGTCGCATTGCACCCTGATTCACCATACTTTAGTATTTTACTCTGTCTAACGCCAGACTAATTTACTCGTCAAGGGGAGAGCGCTGGCGCTTAATGGGTTAATTGCTCTGAAGATGTGTGAACAATACAATGAAACATTAGCCACAGGGGCGGATCCAGCGTTGCGGATGACCGGTTTACTGGGACTGGGGGCATGCTCCCCAGGGAAATTTTTTAAATTTGGGCCTCTGAAACAGCGTTTCCTGTGTTCTGGCGTTACTTTTTAAATTAATTTAATCGTTAGAAAATACATGTTTTTAAGAGAATTTTGGACTAATATACGGAGCTCAAACAATGAATTGAAGAACCTTTTCGGAAACTTATTAGTTAGTGATGAAAATATAGCATTTGCAAATTGCTGACACATCGATATTTATTATAAGTACAACAAGTAGAGATGCTTTTAAAGTGGAAGTCAAGTCCGTTCTGCGCATCGGTTCTCTCATAACAATGTGAGGACCCCCTAATGTAAACATTGCTTAAATTTTGAATGTTTCAAATTTTTCTGAACATAAACTCTATTTCACATTCATTTAGAAGCATAGCGAACCAAAAGGGTTTTAGATATTGAGACAGTACATCATATTTTAAAAAATACAGCAGTTCAAAATGTCGATCTATATGCTCTAATCGCTTTCAAACCAACTTTAACAATGAAATAGAAACCAAACTGCTAGACTCAGAACACAATGATTGCTCATGCAATATATATTGTACACATATTTCGCGCTATCATGAGTCTACGTAGACTGTGTATAAGTTTATACATGTATAAACATCAATATGCTTGTTGATGGATCGATATCTATTATACAGTAAGTAGAAATAGCTTACAGTTATAACTTTAGACTATATACTTGTGTGTAAAAGTGTAAAATATAAGCTCCATAGATCAACCCTTATCTCATTATATAAAAGTCTTCTTAGACCTCCGATGGAATATGCTGATGTCATCTGGGACGGATGTACTGAAAGCGAAGCAAATCTTTTCGAGGGAATACAAAATGAATTGGCTTGTATAGTTACTGGAGCAATGAAGGGAACAAACAGGGTACGATTATTAAACGAATTATGCTGGGAAGATCTAAAAACTAGAAGATTTCTACATAAATTATTGTTGCTTCATAAAATAATAAATTGCCTCACTCCATCCTACCTTTGTGATCTTTTACCTCCATATGTCATCAGAGATTTGATCACCACCTTAGATCTAATGAAAATTTTACCTATATTCCTACTTGTACCGACCGTTTTAAAATTTTTTTTTCCCATCAGTAATTGCAGCTTGGAATGAACTTGATAATAACTTGTGTAATGTAGAATCATTATCATTATTTAAAAGTAAACTATGTAATACATTTTATGGAATGAAATATAATACTCTCTACAACAACTCATTAAATTGATATAGTTCAATACTACATAGTAGACTTCATCTAGGACATTGCACATTGAATTCTTATCTATATAGTATTAACTGTGCAATTTCTCCATATTGTAAATGTAGATGGGGAATAGTGGAACAATTAAACATTTCTTTTTGCACTGTCCTCGATATGCTGCTCAAGGACAATGCTTGCTTTCCTCGTCTGAGCAGTTGCTCCACGCTACGTGGTTGAACTTAAACATTTCTATATGGTTCAGAAATACTTGGTTATGAGGAAAATCAAACTTTGATTTTCCTCATAACATAATACTTAGTTATTTTCCTAATACTTGGTTATGAGGAAAATCAAACCTTGAAGTTCCTCAAGAAATCAAAGAAAGAGATTGCTGATCAGCGATGTCTGCGCAAGAAAATTTTGCAGTCTACTAAGACCATCATTGATAGGTATCCAGACATTTGAAGATGTTATCGAAAACATTGTCCAAGAGAGCGATATTGGTGCCAATAGCTGGCGCAGGACAGGGGTGTATACATTTACTGGTAGTCAGAAAAAATCAAAACGCGTCACATTCGATAAGATATGAGAAAAATTGCAAGATCACTATGGTACACGTTTCAGCTATGGGACTATTGTCCAGCTCTCTGCCTGCAGGCACAAAAGGCGGCTATCAAGTAAACTGTATAAAGGCATCGCAAATGTAAGGTATCAAAGGGCTAGAAAGAACTCTACGTTGAAATTCAATCCAGATTTTAAATGGAGCCACTCATTATACAAGTTGCAAAATCAACTCCAGAATGATGGCAAATATATATAATTACTACTTAATCGGGATGACCAGGCTGGCTTCAGACAGGACTCTACTTGTACACACAAGAGCCAACCTGTATTATCTATTAAACAAACTGCTACCACTCACACTGATTTTACCAGCAAGTTGCTGCACAACTCCAGGTATCTAGTTATAATTTTTCCCAAACAACAACTTCTGACAAAATTTGTACAAGAGTTGTCAAGGCCACAGGTTTACATGAGAAAACATGCCACTGATCTTCAAAGTGTGAAAAATGTTCGTACACTATCCTTTCAAACGCTCTGGCTATTACGGGTGTGATATTTATCCCTCTGAAATCTTTCTTTATCTTAGGAATGTCGACCTTTGGAATTGGATTTATATTAGCTATTTTCCATAATCTAGGCCACATGGATGTGGCCAACGACATATTCCAAACTTTCATTACAACTGGGGATAGAATGTTGGCAAAATCTTTCCATATCCAGTAAGGAATTTTGTCAGACCCTGTCGCCGTTCGTTTTATCGATCCTAGAGCGTTATATACTTGATCGTAATCTAGCTGAGGTGTTTCAAATGCAGTACTAATGTCCATTTTCAAAGGTTCCTCGTACTCAGGGTCATGACATACATCAGCGAAATAGTCATTCAGATCCTCAACAAAATTCCTCTCCAGTAGTACCCTCGGTGTATCTTTTCTCAGCGATAACTTGTCAATTTTGTTCCACCAACTGCCTGATCCAAACGTACCCGTGTCCATGTTCCTCCTGTTCTGTGCTATAATCTCTGCTATCCTCTTGCTTACTTCCTCTGCTTGGTCGTTCTTTCCTCTAGCTACTAATTTATATTTTCTTTGTAGAAGACTTTTAACCAATGGTGTCAACCAAATTGGATCCCTCGTAGACTTTTTAACTGTTCTTGTTGGAAGGCACGAATCGAGTAGAGAAATTATTGTTGTGTGAAGAATATTTGCTGCTTCATTAACATCATCCGAATCAAGCACCTTCGACCAGTTTTGTTGTTGTAGGGCATTCTTTAGAGCTAACATACGATGGGTTCTTCTATCTCTAATCGTACACTTCACTCGAATTGGTTTCAGTTTAGTTCCTGGTGGCACAATGATACCGAGGTGGTCAGTTTTTATTTGCATTTGCAGGGAATATGGCTTTGTAAACAGATCGGCTCGATTTGTTAAACAATTATCTAATATAGCGTTATTTCTTGTTGGGAAATCCACCATGACATCCAAGCCTACATTTGTTACTAAGTTTTCGATCTTTAAATTATTGAAATCCCCTCTACACAATACAACACCATCAGGGTTAGTGTCTAAAAAATCGTCCATTTTCTCTGTTAAGAAGTTTAACAGATCCATCTCCTGATACTTTGTTTTTGGAGGGTTGTAAACACCACAAATTAGCATATTATGGTCCCCAGGGAGTTTTACAATGACTGAAATGGATTCGTATTTGTCCGATCGGTCAACACTTTCGATATGAATGTTACTTCTAACATAGACCGCTACCCCTCCGCCCTTTCTTTTATCATTACCAAAGCAGTTTCGATCTCTTCTATGTAATACATAGTTTGATATCGCTACAACCGAGTCTGGAGTATCTGGTTTTAAGTGAGTTTCCGAAACAATGCAAATATCAACGTCTGTGGCAATCATATTCGCTGCGAGGGCAACCGGTGCTCGTACTCGATTTTTGGTTTTATTTAGGCCACATATATTTATCAGTAAACATTTGGGCATCGGGTAGTTTACACAGTGATGATCAATTGTAGGATTTCTTGGGATTGGTATTAGATTTCGTTCCCTAATATGCATATGTTCATGCCTATAATGACTTTTCCGGTCACGGTTTATTATCACAGGCTTGTTCTAGCTCTTGTTGTTTACCTTGTATTTCTTGCGAATATGCCTACGGCCGGCTTGTTTTCCTCTGAAACAAAACAATCCTGACTGTTTAATCTGGTTTAGAATTTGATTATTACATGCTGGGATGGTTTTTAGATCCCATAACTCCCTTCTCGAGTATACACGGCGAAATGAACAACTTTGATTTGTTTGCAATATTGCCGATGTGTTGTTTGTACAATTCTTGTCTAAGGATGTTTCTGTAATATTTGCCGGTCCAGGATTGCTACAGATATCCATGCAGATAGTTAGTTCAGCAGCAGGATGTACATCTTGTAAACAGAGGCAGAGATGCCCATGGTTTGTCCATCTAACATGAGGCCTTTTCACCATTTTGTTCGAATTCATAGCGAAATTCATTGCCACAATATTTATTCGTCTCTTCACTAAAATCATATGCAACTCGTTCACACCATATGTGATAGCTTCATTATGATTATTATCGAGTCTGTGCTTGTTATATTTATCAAATATTTAAAGTTTTATGCTACACATACACAAAAAGAGGAGCATAGCAAACACACGTCTGACAGCCATGACGGCACACACAGGATAAATTGGGATAATTTAGTATTCAAAATGGCGACATTCACAATGGCATGAATGGCAATTCAGTATTCACAATGGCATGAAGTTTGTAAGGATAAGGAAGTTTTTTATTTATAAATAAAAATTATAACTATTTATTACTATTTACTATTATTTTTTAGTTAGTGTCAGTTTAGATTTTTGACTGTTTTAAATATCTTTTTGTTAATAACTTAATATTTTACAATATTAAATATAAGTGTTTTTTAAACTTTAAAGCTGCCAAATTGATGGTTTGTCCCATTCTTGGTGATCTTTTTAAGGTGAAAACAGAAATTTCTAAGCATTTAAAGCTTAACAGTTAAGAGATATTTTTTGTTTTCAAAATCAAACGTAAAGTTTTCGGAAAAAACTGAAAAACATGAACTGAGATTTCTTTTTGGTAGCTACATAGCTGTTTTCAGTGTTTATGCAACTGTCGCAACATGCATGGGCTTTATTTCCGCAGTTTACAACTCTAGCACTGCTCTTTGGCTTCAGTCTGGATAGAATAAGATAGATGTAGATGTTCAGCGTTTTATATTCAGTGTTATCAAGAGGTTTTTTGGGTTAGGGTTTTGTTCAGTTTAATCACTTGCCATATATATTAGTTCACTTACTGTTCTTTTCCGCGAATTCTCATTATTTCCATTTTCTTTCAGTAAAAACAGTTATTCAGATTTGTCAAAAAGAGTTATGTTAATTAATGCACAATGGCAACTCAATCATTTGTCTGGGCATGGTTTCATGTTGAAGACAAAAGTGACTCTGCAGCACAATGCCTAATATGTGAAAAGAAGATCAAGAGAGGCCGTGATGGAAAAGGACAAAAAAGTTTTAGCACATCCCCTCTCCATACACACATGAAGACACACCACCAAGAAGAGTACAAAAAGGGAAAAAAAGAATCGGAATTGGTGTCACCGGCAACGTATTCCATTCAACCTAAAGAAAAGAAGATAGTTGCTATGAAAAAGCAGCTTTCAATAGAAGATAGCTTGACGTCTAAGAAAATATGGGACATCAACGATAGCCGCTCAAGAGCCATCCATAAGAAAATAATAAAGATGATGGCTGTGGATAATCAACCATTTTCTATGGTAGAAGATGACGGATTCATAGATTTAATGGCACATCTTCGGCCTCACTATTTGCTTCCCAGCCGACGATATTTTGCAGATAAAATGCTCCTAGAAGTATATAAAGAACTAAGAACCATTGTTCAAGATGAACTAGCTGAACCCGATGGAGACTATATCTCTTTTACTTCAGATATTTGGACGTGCTCTGTTTCCAAGGAAACTTTTATTTCCTTGTCCGGACACTGGGTGAAGAAAGATTTCAAGCGTGTTAATGCAGTTCTTTGTGGATCTCACTTCCCAGGGTCGCACACCGGGATTAACATTGTTGAGATGTTCCAAAACATGTGGGATGATTGGGGTATCCAGGAAGTTCGTTGGAATCTGCTTGTTCGAGATGGAGCAGCAAATATGAGTTTGGGTGGTGATTTGGCTGACATCAATTCAATTCATTGCACAGTTCATCGACTTCAGTAGTGAAACTAAAGCGACCTATTCAACTCTATCTTTCTGATCACGACAATCTTCCCACAATCACGGCAAATGAGTGGCAGATCAGCGAACGGTTCCTCCACATTCTCAAGCCCTTCTTTGACCTGACGAAGAAATGAGTGGTGAGTATTCGATTCTTTCTGATGTGATTCCCAACATTGCGACCTTAGAGTTATTCTTGTCAAAGATCGGCCAAGGTGATCAAGGAGTCCAGTCGACACGTGAAGAACTTCTCAGAGCACTCCGGAAGCGATTTCTATCCCCAGAAGCAGAAGCGTTGAATGTGATGAACGAGAACGCATATGTTACTGCGACATGCATCGACCCTCAGTACAAATACCACTTTTTCCCTAGAGCTGATGACAAGCAACAGGCAAAGGCTTGGCTGGTACAGGGACTTTTTCTGGTTCATCAAAAGTTGCATGGTGAAGAAGACAACAATAACCAAGAATCGCAGTTGCCACCACATTCTCCACAGAGCAAGCGAAGGAAAGAGGACGACCTCTTCCATTCATGCTTCATGGAAATAGTTACTCAGAGAGCAGCCACTGCATCAACTACTTCGACCAGGCAACAAGGTTGTAGGACCAGTAAAGACGTCCAGGACGTTGCACAAGAGGTTGACTCATTTTTGTCATTGCCACTCATCAACCGAAAATGTGATCCACTCGAATGGTGGAAGAATGCAATTCAATCCCCACTTATGCAGGAGCTTGCACGGAAGTTACTTTGTACACCTTCATCTTCCGTGTTCTCTGAGCGGATGTACTCAGAATATGGGAACATATTCAAAGAGAAACGAAGCAGACTCCTTCCAAAAAATGGGGAGAGTCTCTTGTTCATCCATCATAATGGGAGAAAATTCCAACATTGACGATATGTTGTGATTTAACTTTGGATTGAAATTTGAAACTGTTAGCTTTGTTAGTCGTTACTTGTTATGAAATAAAAGTTAACTACTTGTTACCTTTGTTTGAACACTAAACTGGACTATTGAGTATTGACAATGGTTACCAGTAGTAATTCAATTATTGTCATTGTCATTGTTAACGATTGTTAAAAAATTAAAATTAATATATTATCCTTGCTAGTTATAAAACGCAGTTGGCTGAAATTTGTCTTCTACAGAGTTTATAGCGCAGTAGCATATTATACATTGAGTCAACTACAATAAAACTTGTATAATATGGTATATTGGTATTTTCCTATTGTATTATTTTCTATGACACATAATGATATAAAACAAATTAAAAGGTACTTTTTAAATTTTTAAATCCGACCTTCCGGCCGGATTTTCTCCAAATCCGGCCGGATGCCGGAAAATTCGTGAAATCCGGCCGTCTTCTATTTAATTTAATGCTGATATAAAGCTATGATATTGAGATAATGTTCTATTTTCACTCACAAAACGTCGCACCAATTGCACATGAGAAACTAATTAAAGTTGTGTTTGACTATCTAGCATAAAAACACTAGAATTCATAGCACAATCCTTGTTCATTTTATTATATTATTATATTAACCACTGAATCGACAAACACATTTTACATGTTCAAAAGTTTGGATGATTGCTGTAGCTTTTTATATACAAGGAAGCTAATACTGTTGCGGAAGTCTTGAGGTTTAAAATACATTCTACCCTGGTGCCGGGCATTTGTCATTTTTTTTTGCCCGGGGCGGGGCATTGCCAAGCTTTTCCTGGCCGGCCAGGACTGATGCATTACTGTTTAAGGTACCAACTTACACTCACAGATACTAACTTTTTGTAACATGCATTCAAACCTTACACTATATTCAGTACTGAAATTGCTATATAATTATCATAATATAGTGCTGTGCAGAGTGCAACAAAATCATGTCAACAGTGCTGAGAAATTATCTCGATATTGAGATAAGTGCAAAAACCCTTCTAGTTGTCACTACCTACATTGGTACAGACCCATCAAGAATGTGCTTGTCCCTTATATTTTTATTATTGAGATGTTTGTCCTCTGCCAAAAACTTAGAATCTCACTACCCAAGTGAAGGTGCCCTTTTTAGATGGCTGCATGATGTCTTCTAGCCTCCTTTGCAGGCAACTCTATTGTTGTATTTGTACAAATGAATAAAAATTTACTCTATTTTGCTTGCAATACAAAACAATACAGAGTTTCCTGCAGAGGAGGCTGTGCCCTTTTCAAGATTCTTCTGCAACTGAGTCTGACAAGTAAGTTTTAAAAGTTAATAAATAAAAATTGCCCTAATAAAAATACATAACAGGTATGTTAATTTTTATTTGTATATAAAGAGGGTATTATGATGGAATTCCAGGACAATATTGTTACCCAGGCAACAGTCTGCTGCTGATGATGGAAACCCAGGTTTGTTTGTGCTCGTGGCATGTTGTATTGTATGTGTCTGCATGTTTTGATGAAATTATCAATTGCAAAATCAGATTGATGCACTGTATTGTTCAGTTTGTGAACTGAAGGCATTTAATTAACTATGGCTAAATTAAACAGTTTCAAATCAATAAGCTTAAAACATTTACAAAGCCTTTATTTTGGAATTCAATGCATCTATAAAACCCGGCTTAAAGCCCAGCTGATAGACCCTCAGGGCTTTCCAACTCAGAAAATTGCGCGCGCGGACAATCGCGCGGGCAAATCAAACTGCGAATAATACATCAAGAAGGACAATAACACATCAAGAAGGACATGTCAATGCAGTTTTACACATATATTAGCATGCAAATATTGACTTAATAAAGCGTCATGTGTATAACTCAACTTTTGAGAACGTTACAACATAAGAAGCACAAATGCTCGTGATAAAATTTATACATGATTTCAATGTTTCTGGAAGGATACATATGATCAAGCTTAGTTATTGTACCTCTTGTTTGTACTTAATTTAAACTTACTTAATAGAATTTCACTTATGAATAACTATAAGTAAAGTTATAAAATCAGAATCAAATGAAAGCACGCGGCAAAATTCAGGTTCACTTCAGATTTTGCAAAAGAATTAAATGGCTATACAGTAGCATTAGAGCTCTTCCATTAAAAAAAACCCTGAGCATGTTTTGCTATGTATATTGGAAGGTGTGAACCGCTAAATTTGTATTCTTGAAGAAAGTATAATGTCAATCGTCACTAATAACAATAAAAAAACAAATGTCAGATCTATTTATAACTTTTATCAAAACGTTTTACTCTTTCACTCGCAGGCCGCATGCTTTCTATTGCGATGGCCTTTGCACAAAGCTTGTTCCTTCAATATACGATTTGACTGACTTCTTAATAGGAACTTTGAATAAAGCATTTTCATTGCGTTGACAAACTTTGCACTAAACAAAATTAACACACGCGTTGCCCATCGTTGATCGTCTTCTAGCCAATAACACCATTTTCCCCCACTTCATAAAAGTTGCCAGATCGATCTTAAAAACTTTGGTGGCCATCTTCAATTATAAACACCCTAACTTTGGAAGAATACCGATAATATTGCACTCTCTGTTAAATAATGTAAAGTTCTAAACTGTCAAATGAAATTTGGTTTTGTTACATGATATCTTACTGTAATTCACCGCGTGTCAAAATTGTAACGCGCGATTATCCTTAAAAATCAAATTTGCGTGCGCGATAAATCGCGCGCCCAGATTCATGTGGGCGCGTGCGGGCGCGCGCTGGCGCGATCGCGCGCCCCCAGAGGAAAGCCCTGAACCCTTGACATAAATGGCTGCCGATTACAAATTCTTTTATGTGCATATTGCAAAAGTCACCGAACTGTGGAATCGCATCAAAATTTTGTATATCGACCACTCCCACAAATGTCTACGACCGTGCCTACATATTTTTGCATGTTTACAATTCTAATTTTAAACAGCCAATCAACGTTTAATTGCAATTGTTACCAAGAACCTGATTGGCTGTTCAAAATTAGAATTGTAAATATGCAAAACTATGTAGGCGCGGTCGTAGACGTTTGTGGGAGTGGTCAATATACAAATTTTTGATGCGATTCCACAAGGTCGGTGACTTTCGTAATGTAAATTGGCCCAACTCTCATGTTAAGATTTCAAAGGAATTTCTACCCAGAAACGAGGCTAGTTAGGCCAATTTATATGCACATAAAAGAATTTTTAATCAGCAGCCATTTATGAAAAGGGTCTATGGCCTGGATTTTGTGGCCTTATGGTGATGCCCAGACCAGGTAAAACCTGTTCACACAGGGGGTCCTAGCAAGGTCGAAGTCTCACTATGCAGCTATAGTTAGTTTTCCTTCCAACTAATTTAATGTACATGCACATGTATATATACTTTTTGAAACTATTTTCTTGTTGTATTTAGAGCAAGTCCCACATGAAGATACTGGCACATTGGAAGAATTTGCATCTCCTAAACATAAACAAATGAGAGTTGTGTTCTATCTTAAGTGCACAGTTGGTGTCTTGAAACAGCTTTCAACAATTTTGTCTCAGCAGAGTTGCAAAAAAGCTGCGGGCATTACCCGTGAGGAAGGTTTATCATAGGCGAGGTCAGTGAGGAAGGTTTAGTGGTGAATAGTCGCTAACACCAAAAAAGTAAAACAAATAAATCATAGTTGAATAGGCGGTTGAGGCTGACAAGTTGAGGTGGTACCATTGTGATGTAGTACTTAATACCTATACCAGAAGACTATGACATTGGAGATTAAATAACTGAAAATATTATGTAAAATTAAAATGTATCAGTGTCAAGAATCAGAGGTGCCTTAAACCATTGCACTGCCAATTCCAGGAGGCTATTACTAACTATTCATCATCGTTACAATAAGAAAATCACATTGAACATTATTATATTATTCAGAGATTATTTGATTACTAGATGATTTCAATATTTTTAGAGAATAATTAATAGAATAGTTTTAATGAAATGAATCAATGCTTTATTAAACAATTAAACATTGTAATAATTATATAAATATGGCCAAGGTGAAATGCTGTAAACTGCCACAAAAATTATAAACAAAGCTGAGGAAGAAACTTTAGCTTGGTGCGATGTGAGTGAGAGTCTGACAAAAATAATACAGCTTGAATTCCGAGGTGTCTAGCTGTCATACATATTAATAGATCGACAAAACATATTCAAAGGGTCCTATACTCAAAATCATTGTTTACATACCTGATATACCTACATGTAGACTGGTCTATCCCCACAAACTACAGGTATAAGATAACCATAAGCATATAGCAGGATTGGCAGCATCTGTTATAGAGATTATATTGGCATTGCCAATGATTTTTAGCCATTCCAAACATTGCCATTGATTATAAGCCGCCATGCTGCCCATGCAGGGCACTATGTCTAGTCTGCTTGGTTTAAATTCAGCACTTTGCTTCGGAAACAAGTGAGAACATTCGCTGCCTCGCTGATTGTGAAATTAGGCAATTGGATCACACTTCTAAAGACCTAAACACTCTCAAATCCCTGCCTCGTACCCAGGTGCTTACATGAAGTATTCAGGTAGGCATCCGACGCGCGAAGGGGCTGTTTGGAAGGGTGCGTGCTGGGGAGCGCCTGGCAGTTCTTGTATACTGTCATGGCGGGAAAACAGGGAATTTTATACAAAAAGTTACCATATCGTCATATACTGTGTGTAAAACCTTGCTTTGTGATGAAGAGTTGAATTGAACGCCATTGGCAAATAATAATACATCTGTAGATGTTCAATGACATGCAAAATGCGCGAAAAATTATGAGTGGGTAACATGACAAGTTAACCGTGCGAATATTTCGAATATGTCATTCGATATTACATGGAGAATAATAAAATGCTATCAGTTGCTCAGTTAGCATAAAACAGTAACAGAGAAATGATTAGAAAGTCATATAATTGCTTTTGTATTAATAACTTCTTTAGCTGAAAGCTCAATCAGTCGATCACAATGCCAATGGCAATTTCTATTAAACGTATACTGTAAACAAAAGCCCAAGTAAATAAAAGTTCACAGCTGTAAAGTTTGAAATATTTATTACAATAGTGCAATTTTATAGTCTGTACCTTTATATAGTTATAGCTTACAAATCTAGTTCCTGCAAGTCTAGTTCTTCAACGCTTCGGTTGTTGACATGTTAATATTGGAATTTCCATGGACTTTAAGGGCATATATATGTCATATATACCAGGAATAACAGCATGAATTCACGCCCAGATGACAGAAGAATATTAACATTAGTCAATTCAACAAAAACAAGTAGCAAAAAATCGTAAACGAAAACGAAATAGCACGACTTGCAAGAAATCGTACAAATTTGCAAGAAATCGACCAAGAACTGCCAGGCGTCTCGCAGTTCAAGTGCACTCTTCCCATCAGCCCCTTCGCCATCTCTCCCCACTACAATACTTCATGTAAACACATCATATGGGCATCACTGCTTTTTTACAAAGAGACGCCTGGGTATGAGGCAGCTCAAATCCCTGTCATGTTTTCATTGAAGCAAAACTGCCAAAACCACAAGTACAGAAAATTAAATACCGATCTGGAATGTTGTTGCCATGGTTTTACCGCTGTGGTTTTTATTACAGATTCAGAAACCACCGCGTTTTAAACATCATCACTGTGACATTATCTTGAGTCCTTGACTTTATTTTTTTATATATTATATTGTTTATATAGCCATATAGGATGTAAACGTAGTAGGTAAGGACAGTCCAATTTGTCCAAAGTGTAAATTATTATGGCAAATTATATATTAGAATCATGTACTGCGTTTAATGACGTCTCTTTCGAATTTTATGCTTTCAGAATCAGTTAAATGTAATAAATTCGATGGCTAATTGTAGCAAATGGGGAAGTTCTGGGAGTAAGGAGATTGTGCAGTGTTTCTACTGCAAAACTGAGACAAGATTAGACAATCTAGAAAGACACAGCAATGTTTGACATCCAGGGATGCCAGTCAAACATAAAATTATTGTATCATCAAATCAGCACACTTTATTTCAAATGTTTGACAAGAAAATTTATGATCGTGAAAACGAAGTTGAGAGTGAGAGTCGGGAATTGGAAAAAAACACAGAGCTTGATGAAATAACTGAAATGGACGATACTGAAGGTGATGCGACTAATGCGATAAATAAAACCACAAGCACAGAAAAAGAATGTCTAGATTCTGAAGATTTTGTTTCAAAGAAAAGGAACAGACGTGCAGAGTCCGAGCCTATTCCAGAGAAAGCAGTGAAAAAACATTTTTGTTCACAATCTGGTGAGAATACAGGGGATGCATCCATGATTGTGGAACTAATCAAGGAATCAAATGATAGAATTGAAAAGAAGCTCGATGCATCGGAACAAAAGATCATAGAAATTCTTATAGAAATGATCCTGTCAACACATGCCAGAGTAAAGCAGGGTCTTAGCTAGAGGGCCGTGTTATCGCAGCCAAAAGTGGAAAAATACGGCTAGATAAAATGAACGCGGCTTCACTATTTATACAAGGCCGTGTATAGGTTCATAAAATAAGGTGGTGCTACTTACAACAGACAGAGTTTCTTCCTATTTACGTCAAGAAAGTTTGTAGAATCTACTGTTGTTGTTGAATTGGCAAAAGTGATCCGTGATATTTTAATGTTTTGATGGATAATGGGAACTGTATGGTGTTAAAATGGTTTTAAATACCCCCAATAGTTGTTGAAATTATAACTTAATTGTCAGTGCGCAATATGAGCGTATGCTCGCCTTGTATTTGGTTGCAAAGCATAGAACAACCACAGGCATTGTTGTTGGCGAGCATAACTAGAGCCATGATTTTGCTATTCAAAGTAATTGACATGTGCACGCCCTGGTCATTAGAAACACGCCCAAGATCTAAAATCCTAGCTAAGACCCTGGAGTAAAGTTAATCAGACTGAAAAAATTATGAAATATTTCGGCGAGACTTGGCAAGTTGCAAAGATTTAGACAGCCTGGTAATATGTTTACAGCAAAATCAATTCACCTATGACGAAGAGTCAGGAATAATTTCATGCACAATCTGCACATCTGAGGAAGCAATTCGAAGAAATGTAAACGAAAATAATACGGGCCATTTTAAAGTTAATATAGACAAATATAATTTAGAGTAGTTTACAAATCCCAACCAACAACCAAAAACCGTGAGTCATTTGAAAAGTCATATTGCAGAGATCTATTTGGAGCTCAAAGAAGGGAAAAGAATGCATTTCATCAGAAGCAGTTGGAGAGGATCGAGACAGAGCATCTGGCAGAGTCCAAAAGACAAGCCAGATCTTACACAGCTGGAATGAATCTATTCAGAATCCGATACAATGAAATAATGCAGGGAAACAGCTACAACAGCTTTGAGAGTGACATCTTGACAGCTAAATTAAACAAATGTGAAGTAGGAGATGAGAACCATAGCAGAATGTTTGCAAGGGCATTGACGAAAGATATTGCTGCCATTATGGATATTGATCTAAAACAAGCTTTATCACGAAAACTTGATTGCACAAATCAACGACCACCTGTTGGTATGGTGATGGATAAGATGACACCAAATAAAAGAACTGGACAATCCATGCAATCATTGTTCCTGTCCCATCCAACCCTCTATCCGACGTAATGTTGGCTCCAGGCATGCTGGAAGTTCCACCTGTCACTCATCATGATGCAGCAGGTCTAGCTGCAATGGCCAAGAAAGTTTTAAATGGTGCTGGTGTCAAGGACAGTCAGTTGGAAGGAGTTGGCTGGGATGGACAATATGTTCTTTTGGGAGTAATGGAGAAACTTATAGAGCTGTTAGACATACCAGGTATGGACACAGATACGAAGCGGAAGTGGATCACTCAGATGTGGGAACCAGCCCACAATATTGAACTAGCAACCAAAGATATTAGAGAGATGACCACAGTTTTTGACTGGTTTGTAGAACACATTTCAATAGTCAATGGCATAATTCAAACACTGAACATTGGTAAGGGATTGGAGCAGTGTCTTACAGCAGCTGAAGAACAGAACAGGAGGCTGTATAGACTGACAAATTTAACCACAACTAGATTTTCTGCCTATTTCGAGCGATCATTGTCTAACTTTGAGAAGGATTTTCCAGTCATTGTTCAAGCTCTGCAAACCAGATCTATAGAGAGTGGAGAAAAAGATGCGAGGGAGCATGCCTCTAATTCATTAAAGAAAATCTTGACAAGGACCTTTATTATGGTGAATCTGGGATTAATTGACATTTACCGACTTTTGGGATCCTATTCTTGTCTCCTACAAACGGTTGAACAGTTTCCCTGGACTGTTGAACAATGATTACGAGAATTAATTCAGTGCTTAAGAGAGATGTCGACGATGAAGCTCAATTCCGCTGAGGAAGATGACGAGGTTACTGATGTGAGTGCTGGTATTGACCAGAAAAGATGGCCTAGACTCTTTCAGCATGTTGACTCTGTCCTAACTGAACAATATCATGGACTCAGCACAGCATTAGCTATATAAAGGAGAAGGGGGCGATCTGCTGCAGACATGGGAAGCAATTACATTTTGCTAACAGTAGAAAATAGATTAACAAGTCTCTGCAAAAACCTTGCTGATTGAATTGAGAATAGAACAATTAAAAATGAAAAATATCCAATTGCAGATATCTTTCAACTGATGGCAAGCTGCTTCAAGTTACAGGACCTTCTGCAGACAAGCGTGGACTCAGTAGAGAACTATGGAGTTGTGGAACTGAAAAAGCTTCTGAAACAAGCATGCTGCTCGCAAGAAATAACAACTAATGTCCTTGTACAGTACGAAATCTGCAAATCAAGATTGGTGGCACTGTTGGATGATCAAGAAAATCCCATGCTTAGAAATGTGGAGCAATTTTGCCACGAAACTCATCAGTGTTCTTCAGAATGTAATGTGAAGCACTACAAAGACTGCGAACAGTTCCAAAAATTAAAGGAACCGAGAGTTGTCATTTCGCTGAAATTCTATCATCTCTTCTTAAGAGAGAAGGATCTCTACACAGGAATCGAAGATTTTCTGCATTTCTTCCTTCAGTGTGCCACAAAGACCCATGCTGAAGGAGTGGCTGAAAGCATGGGCAACTATGTAGAAATGCACAGCGACAAGAGGAGGGGTCTGGACATCAGCGATGTCGGGTTGGAGGCCAGAATTCACTGGAATGGTCCTCCTATTCACTACGCCACCAGACTTGGCGAGTTGGCTTTGGATCAACACTTTGGAGGAAGACGTCGGTGGCACTTTGTGACAAAAAATAACAAAGGCAAATCAGTCGTAACTAAACGACTGGAGAAAGAGAAGCCTAGACTACCATTTTACTAGATTTTGGCTTTAGGGAAATTAGTGAACAGTTGTTGATTCTTAAATCCAGTCACAAATAACAATATTACAATATTGAAGCTATTAAGCTATCCAACCTTGCTAAAAACGCAGATAGTTATTTTAGTATTTACAGCAATTCCTAATACAGCCAAGCAAAATTTTGGAGACTTACATGCGTTTCTGTAGCAACCGTCATACATCTGCTATCAGTCTCACTGCAATTGGCAATATGTAAGTACAAATGTGAAATGTACAATGCATTGATATCTATATATCAATATAGATATATAGATATATATTGCTATTTGACGAAGCCATATTTTAGTATTTATTCAATTTATTTTGAGGAAGGTTTGAAAACTTGAAATTTTACCCGGAGGAAGTTTGAACATTTTTTGCAACTCTGTGTCTCAGTGAAGTGAAATAATATCAGTGCGATTTAAAACAATGGCTATAGTGTCAGCAGTTATTTAAATATGTGCAATATTTCATTTATAATTATAAATATATAATATTTGTGTAATATATTATTCTATGGATGCTGAGTAATCTGTATATATTTCTTGTTATTTTGGATGAAATCACCAAATGGAAAACTGTTAAAAATTAGAGACATTATCATTAAATCAATAACCTTAAAATCTTTAGTTTGAGAAAAATTTGGCTTCAACTAACTGGAACCCATTATTCAATGAAGAAATCTTTACCCACTTTCATGTATAGTTTGGAGGGTGGGTAGGAGGTGCAATATGGTACTTCACAATCAAACTTTCTGTAATTAACCTGGATGTAAAACCAAACTCTCATTTCAGGGTATCAATGCCTTTAGCTAATAGTAACCATTTTCCCCGAGCCAACGGCGTGAAGCTCCATGCGAGGTACTAATTCCCCCCGGCTATTTACACCCGGGGAAACGAAAGCATTAGCCAAGTCTAAAGTTCATGAATGAGCACGGGCGTGGGTTACCGTGAGTGGTTCGGTGGGTGGTCATCCTCACTGATCTCAAAAATATGGCGGACTGTCATGAATAGCGGACACTGATTGGTCCAATTTAAAGCTTGCATTATAACGATTACATGACGACAGCGAAATAGCAAACATTTCTTGATGACTTGATTTGATGATTGATAAATTTCTTGCAAATATATTTCATTTTTGCTTGCATTTTGCAAGATTTTGCAAATTTCAAAAGCTTTCTCAGAAAGAAAGGGTGAAAGAATAGGCTAAAAGAAGGGAGCCAACGTTAACAAAGGTAAGTTTTGTTTTAAATATTGATTTTATAATTGCTTTAAAACCTGACGGCCTTTGGCTTTGCATATATGCATGAAACAACTAAACAAGACAGCATATAATTTCAGTGTATTATTAATATTGATTCCCTTTTTTATTATATTGAATTTTTTAAATTAAAAAGAAAAGTTATTTGCATGCGAGAAATTGAAATATTTTTTTATTGCAAACTCAAAGTTTATCGATAAAGCCATTTAATTATTAATTAAAGGCAGTTTAGTTTTATAAAGAACACTTTAATTTAAAATGTTTTGCGAAGCGTTTGTGGTTGAATTTTACCTTAAATTGAAGCTTATATTATGTATAATAACATACCTAACATATATATATGTTGGGAAATTGATAATTTTGTAATTAAAAGTGATATTTTTAGGCGATTTTTCATTTCAATTTGTATGAATTCGAATATTCTTAAAAAATTATTGCGTGTTACCATAACAACAACTTTAGATACTTCATGTTCGTAAAATACAATGGTTTTGTCAGCAAGGCAAGGGTTTCTGCATGCATGTATTTTCTAGTATATTATATACCACAAGCTGGTAAGCATCAAACAAACTGTACTCTATAGGATATATTTGTTGAAACATAAGGAGTATCTTTGGTGAGCTTCTATTTAGGTTCGTACTAATTACCGACAACAACCGACAATTACCGACAACAAGCTGACAATTACCAAAAACAAGCTGACAAATACCGACAACAAGCAAATACATACTTTCATTGTATTATTATAGTTATTTGGTTGTTTTTGAGGAAACCCAAAATATATAAATTCGACAGAGTTTGTCAAACATTGTTGAGTTAAAACATTCTGCGATTTAAAGATGATGGGTTTGCGTAGGCAGACAGTAATTATATTTTCATTGTTTGACATCAATAAAATCATAAACAATAGGATTAACACAACATCCTGCCCAAGGATAAATGTATTCATAATAGAATTCCAATTATGCAAACTATCCGAAAACTGCATAGTCTGATGACGAGTCATCGATACCATATAAAAGTAAAAAAACATTTAGTCTTATGGACAACTCTCGCTATCGAACTCTCCGAGTGTAATAATAAAGTGCTTTAAAGTTGCTTCAACAATGGTTAGTGGAAAGAATGTAAGTCATGTTAGTGAGAAAGTGAAAGCTTACCAATGGCCATGTACGGTGTGCAAGACAAATTGCTCTACCGACACAATTTTTTGCGAGCAGTGCTGTGCGAGTGGAACATTACACTTGCGAAAATCTCGGGGAAGGTGATTTCCACCAGCTTTCCAAAGTTTCTTGTGGCTATGTGTGCACAAAATGTTGCGTTGACCAATACAATAAGTTTGATTTCAAGAAATCATTGCAAAGATTGCTCATTGCCTCCAAGAATATCAAGGATCTTCACCATGCAGCGATCGTAGTGCAGATTTTGCTCAAGAGTCACCCTTTCCAGTCAACGAGTACGAAGCAACCAGTTGGTAATGGTAAAAAGATTCACCAGTATTCTCAATCCGTGGTCAACATGTACGGGCCGGTGTCACAGGTACCTATTTATGTCATAGGCAACTGCCTCTTTAACTCAGTTTCAGTCACTCTTCAGGATGAAGGAATGCCATCAGAGTTCGTACTACAAGAACCACCACCTACATTATAAAGATTTTCGGCTGGTATCGCCTGACTTGGTGAGAGCATGTCAAATGTGTGCTACTGACTATGAATTTTTGTGCATCTTTACAGCGCAAGGTCTTTCGTCTGTCATTGGTCGGGACAATTACTTTTTAACTTGTATAGCTCCGTATTATTTGATTTCCGATGTATATGACGGGAAGTTTAAATATTACGGTACTCCGCGAGTATTTGCGGTACGAATCTGAAAGTACCGCCGGGGGAATCCGCTTGAAAGGTTCTGGCGAATCGGGCAGTGTAAAGTGGCTGCGGATTCAGAGGCGTAGCCAGGATTTTCGGTCAGGGGGGGGGCAGCAAAAAGCTAGGTGCGGTGACACGTGTCGACTCAATTCAGGGCAGAAAAAACACATTCTACAACCGAGCTGGAATACCCAGCAGTTACAGCAACCAAATACATTTGCTGCAAAATTTCAGCACCATGCAGTGTTGTCCATGTCATTTTGTTCACGTTTGGCTTTACAGTCTTCTTACTTTTTGCATCATTCTCGACTTTCTTCTTCTGGAATTCAAGCTCAGCCAAACTATCTTGTCTGGCATTGAAATCCTGTATTACACTACGAAATACGTCACATTCACTTTTCAGTTTATGAAAAGAGAGATCTTCAACTTTCTGACTTATTACTGGAATAGTTTTGATAAAGTCCAGGAGAGGTCTAAGTTTATTAGCATCAAGAAACGGGGCTTTGGATGGTTCCAACGTTGCAAAGGACAAGCACAGTTCTGTATTGAACTCACTGAAACGGTTATCAAATTCAGCATCAAGATTGTCAAGTACCTCAACTGCTAATGCACGTAATTGTTCCAAGTTGTTGTTCATATCCCGATATATTGGAAGCTTATCTGTCAAGACCGAGTCCTGAAACTTATCTGGGATGGTTCTTTTTCTTTTACTACCAACGCCGTGTTCAATCACTGTCGTAGCAGCGCATTCAGGATAAATGAGATGTGTGATGCTCTCTATGGCGTACTTCTGATGCAGATCATCTAGGTTTTCTCTAATGGATTTCAGTATGCTAAGTGATGTTTGTAAGTCACAATCAGACTTCTGGAAAGTCTTATTAAGGATATCCAGAAGGGATAAAACATCCATCATAAATGGTATGAGAAAGATGCTAACAGGCTGATAAATTAAGGATGATAAATAACCCCTAGCTTTGGCACAATATTCTAAATCTACTGACTTTGAAACTACACATTTCTCCAGTGTGGCATATACATCTTCAATGTGTTTTCAAATAACTTTGACACTTGATAAATGCCCATCCCATCTTGTAGTTATCAAATTTTTTAAAGAATCACCTTCATAGAGCTTATTAATCGGAGGGATTCTGAAGAAAATGTATAAATCCTGATTCAGTTGAAAGAAATCACCTAACTCTAAAATGTTTGACAAAGTATCTCTTATCACTAAGCCAAGTCGATGGTTCAGACAGTGAATGTATGGAATATTACGGCCACAGTGTTCCTGGATTAACTGTTGCAAACCACCTGATAAAAAATATAAGTATAATAAAATGAAATAGAACTAGAAAATACATGCATGCAGAAACCCTCGCCTTGCTGACAAAACCATTGTATTTTCCGAACATGAAGTATTTAAAGTAGTTGTCATGGTAACATGATAATTTTTTAAGAATATTCTTACAAATGAAAAATCGCCTAAAAATATCACTTAATTACAAAATTATTAATTTCCCAACATATATATGTTAGGTATGTTATTATACGTAATATAAGCCTCAATTTAAGGTAAAATTCAACCACAAACGCTTCGCAAAACGTTTTCAAAGTCACTATAGTGTTATAAAACTAAACTGCCTTTTAAAATGGCTTTATCGATAAACTTTGAGTTTGCAAATAACTTTGCTTTCTTTTTTATTTATTTAAAAAATTCAATATTAAAGATACACTGAAATTATATGCTGTTTTGCTAATAGTTGTTTCATATACGCAAAGGCCGTTGGGTTTTAAACCATTATAAAATCAATATTTAAAACAAACTTACCTTTGTTAACGTCGGCTCCCTTCTTTTAGCCGATTCTTTCGCAGTTTCGTTCTCAGAGAGCTTTTGAAATTTACAAAATCTTGCAAAAATGCGAGCAAAATGAAATATATTTGCAAGAAATTTATCAATCATCAAATCAAGAAATGTTTGCTATTTCGCTGTCGTCATGCAGTCGTTATAATGCAAACTTTAAATTGGACCAATCAGTGTCTGCTATTCGTGATAGTCCACCATATTTTTGAGATCAGTGAGGATGACCACCCACCCAACACCGTTGGTGACCCACGCCCGCGATAATTGATGAACTTTAGACTCCGCTAATGCTTTCGATTCCCCGGGTGTAAATAGCCAGGGGGAATTAGTAGCCTCGCACGGCGCTTCGCGCCGTCGGCTCGGGGATAATATGCTTATTTATAGACTTCAATGATAACTCATCAACACTAAACTTTATGATGCATGCTGCATCTTACTCACCTTTTGTCCCGGACATGACACTAGCCCCATCAAAAAGTATTGGAAACTAGTCCATCCATTCATATTTCACCCTCGTCCTCTAGAGTTGTTGTAGCGATGTCCACAAGACCCTTTGCAGACCTGTCTTCTGCCAACTTGACATCGACCACGTGTTCCACAATACCTCCTTTGCTGTTGTTCCAATATCTCAAAGCAACACCTTCCATTTCACTAAATATTGTTGTGATATGACCAGAATTAAATACTACAGTAACAAACACTACTACAGTAGTTAATCTGCCAGTTATTTAAGTTTGTCCCGAGCCGGCGGCACGAAGCGCCGTGCGAGGGTACTAATTCCCCCCGGCTATTTACACCCGTGGAAACGAAAGCATTAGCGAAGTCTAAAGTTCATCAATGAGCGCGGGCGTCGGTCACCAACGATGGGTGGTCATCCTCACTGATCTCAAAAATATGGCGGACTGTCATGAATAACGGACACTGATTGGGCCAATTTAAAGTTTGCATTATAACGGCTGCATGACGACAGCGAAATAGCAAACATTTCTTGAGTTGATGATTGATAAATTTCTTGCAAATATTCTTCATTTATGCTCGTATTTCTGCAAGATTTTGTAAATTTCAAGAAAGAAAGGGCGAAAGAATCAGCTAAAAGAAGGGAGCCGACGTTAACAAAGGTAAGTTTGTTTTAAATATTGATTTTATAATGGCTTTAAAACCCGACGGCCTTTGCGTATATGAAACAACTAAACAAGACAGTATATAATTTCGGTGTATCTTTAATATTGATTCCCTTTTTTATTATATGGAATTTTTAAAATAAAAAATAAAGCAAAGTTATTTGCAAGCGAGAATTTGAAATCATTTTATTGCAAACTCAAAGTTTATCGATAAAGCCATTTAATAGGTTATAAAGGCAGTTTAGTTTTATAAAGAACACTTTAAAACGTTTTGTGAAGTGCTTGTTGTTGAATTTTACCTTAAATTGAAGCTTGTATTACGTATAATTACATACCTAACATAAATATGTTGGGAAATTGATAATTTTGTAATTAAAAGTTATATTTTTAGGCGATTTTCATTTGTAAGAATATTCTTAAAAAATTATCGTGCTACCATGACAACTACTTTAGATACTTCATGTTCGGCAAATACAATGGTTTTGTCAGCAAGGCGAGGGTTTCTGCATGCATGTATTTTCTAGTAAGGTTAATACTGTACCTCCGACTGCTATCAGTAGTTCCATCCATCATTAGGGTGAATAACTCTGCTTCTTTGCACTCGTTGGCGACTGTCTCTCTCACAATCTCTGCTAGGGTTTCTATTACCCCATTTTGTATTTCTGGTGAGGTATATTTTGCATTGGTTGGAAGATTCGTTGATATTTGTTGCAAATGAGGATCTTGAGGAAAAATACGATCAGAGAATGTATTTAAATAGAGCCCTCCTGACAGGCCCTCTTCTAATATCGAGTTTTCTTCGTGTCCGCGAAAGCTAAGACCCTTAGCAACCAGGTATTTGGTAGTGTTGAATACTGTTTTCAGCCATATCTTGTGTTCTGGCCTGACTTGGATAAGGTTTCGTACCGTCTGACCACGTTTCTCACAAAACTCTTTCGCTTTCCAAGATGCCATTGCTCTCATATGAACCTCTGACTGCTCATGTTTTTTAAATCCTTTCCCACTTTCCATGGCCGTCTTCCAGTTTGAGAATCCACTCTCTATAAATGCTTTTTCTTTTGTGGAATCTTTTGCAAACATTTGACAAGGATAGCAAAAACATGCATCTGCATCTTTGAAATACTCCAGCCAAGAAAAAGCATTGTACCATGTGCTTTGGAAAGATCTTTCTCGATTCCCTTGCCTTTTCTTTGGATACTGTTTTAGCAAAGGTCTTGATTGTGGGCGAAGTTGCTGAAAACTTGATCCACTTGTTGATGAAGATTGTGATAACATATACATATTTCGTAGAGATTTGCAATTGAGATTTGAAAAATTTGCAATTGAAATGGTTTTTTTTAAACAGAGCCCGCGTTAAAAATTCACTGGTAAATATCAGATTGGTTAAAACTTCATCTAACCTTCATTTACTACATATTGAAATAATTAAGGTTGGAAAAGGTATGTGTTTCAAGCTGTGTGCCGCGAATAAGCGAACAAGATTTTAGGTTTCACACTGATGCGCAGCAAAGCATATATTCTACAGAATTTTTGCATATTGACAGCATGAAGCTATATAATCAAGAATTCCCTTTTTTATACAATACATTTTATCAGGGGGGGGGCAAAATTTTGCCAGGGGGGCCGGGCACCAGCCCTGGCTACGCCTCTGCGCGGATTATGGGCTAGGCATACTCGAACAATGTAAACTAACCATACCATACATACTATATACAATATACTCGAAGAATGTAAACAATGCATCAGTAAGTCTTAGTAATAGCCTTGTTCGAAACACAATCCCAAAACATTATTTAGAGTGTTATTTTCAAGCTTGTATCTGCAGATTTGCATGTTTTATTTCGGTATTTCAAAATATCTAAATTTCACATGAGAGCTTTGACCGGAAGTTCGAGTTCAAATATCCGAAACAATGCGATGTTTACATCCCATGACTCAGGAAACATCGGAAATCGATTCTAGAGGTCAAAGTACCCCATGTGGCGTGATTTTCACGTGCATGGGGCTACGGGTGCTCCTTATTGGCCAATTTTGGCATGTGGCACGCGTGTGCAAGTAAAAACCCCATATTTTGAAAAATTCGAAATAAATGTTTCTACTTGTATTCAAACGAAACTTTCTACATAAAAGCGCTTGGATACAAGGAATATTTCACTGCTATTGACTTGGGCGAATGCTGAAGGGTTTAGAAGATATTCAAGTTTTTCTCGATTTGAACTACAAAATGTTTGGCCAAGCAGTGAGTAAATATACAATGTTTCGGTTTTGTGTGTAATGTTATGACGGCATTTGACCCCCCGTTTGAAAGGTTATTTTATGAGGATTTCAATGGTAGTTTTCGTTTTAAAGGGGGTATATACTTGCCGAGATATTTTATATTTTCTCCTCTCCAAAGTCGAAATATGTAATATGACTGGATGAGAATGAGTTAATTGAAAACGATTAAAAACCAGAGTATAAGAAAGAGTTACACAGATTGAAACAATCGCAAAAAGAATGAACATTACCTGCACAGATAAAGCTGTGGTGGAATACCTTGGAGAATTTCCTATAACTGTAAGCATGCACGGAAACAGAAAAAAGGCTGCCACAGCGAAAATTCAAACATGCAAATACCAAGCAGAAGAGAGTACATACCGCCAATAGAAAAAATACTGCTGTTGATATGCAAACAGTGATCAATATGATGAATGACAATCCGTACATTCAGGAAATCATACACATGAAAGGTAAACCTCCCATGGTTATTTTATACACAGATGACCAATTGAAAGATGTGAAAAACTTTTGCATTGGCCATGAGAGTAAATCGATTCTTGGACGGACCTTTTAACGTTGGAGCGTGTTTTGTAACATTGACTGTTTTTAAAAACACCCATTTATTGCAACGATCATCTCAATCACCACCAATAATGTTAGGCCCTGTGTTCTTTCATTGGGATGGAAGTTGTTCTACATATCAATGTTTCTTCTCCCACATATGAACAAAATTGGACACCAATATTAACACTGAGATTGGTCTTTGTGACATTGTTGTTGGTTCAGATGAGGAAAAAGCTATCCTGAAGGCGATAAAACAAAGTTTTCCAAGTGCCCAACAACTTCTCTGCCAGCGCCATCTTGAGGAAAATATCCATCGGCACTTGCAGAAAAAGGTACCAGTACCTGAAAAGACAAGACACAAAGTCATCTCACTGATAGTTGGAAAAGCTGGACTTGTAAATTGCAAAGACCAGGTGGATTTTGAACTTACATTCCTTTCACTGTCAAACAAGTTTTTAGAGATTACTCCAAACTTTGTTTTGTACTTTGAAAATTCCCTTGTTCAACAAATCCAAGAATTAAACATTGAACAATATTTTAAAGCTATCAACTAACTGGAAAATTCTCAAACTACCTGATCTCATCGAAAAGATGCATTCAATTGTAAAACTGCAGTACGCAGACATGAGACGAGCTCTTCATGGCCATGGCAACTATGAACTGGCACCCAAGTTGAAACACTTGGTCTTGCCAAACACAATTTGGATGACGAAGAATGAGGATGAAAAGAAAAAAACATTTTCAGAAGTTTCTGGCAGCACCAGCTACAAAAAAGAAAACAATTGTCTCAACAGATGGTGGGTTAGAAATTCCTACAACACCTGCTGTTGCAAGAAAACCAGGGCAACGCAAGCGTGTCCGCCGTGGGAGAACCAGAACTATTGGTCAAGTTAAAAGAACAAAATTTGCATGACATGTTACAACGGTATGTTTTATAATAACAAATATGAAACATTTTCCTGGTTGATATACAGTTTTATTATACAGGGTGTCTAAAAAAACGCTATGGAAATTCATCAGGCTGAGCATCATAAATGTGGCTAAACAATTCAATTCCAACATAGGACAAAAGAACAGTTATTTAGCTTTTGAATGATACTCTTTTTAAATCGTAACGATGAGAAATGGCCGCATACTCTTCAAATAAAAATTGCCGGTCGAAATCACATTCTTCCACGTTGGGAATTGTATGGAAAACGAAACATAAACAATTCCCAAGAGGGAATTAAAATAGAATGTTAAATTATCTCAAATAAGCTCAACTTGACAATCTTCGTCTTAATGAGAAGATAAGAACGTCCAATATTGCATTAAACATGGTTCAATGAACCACTGAACAGATAACATTCGTAATTAAAAAGTTTTACAAAACAAGTACCTTGCAGCAGACTCGCGGTGCTTTTGGATTGATTAACTTTGCATAATTAATGTATTTTCAATTCCAAACGGTGGAAGAATGTGATTTCGACTGAAAATTTTTATTTGATGAGTATGTGGCCATTTCTCATCGTTACGGTTTAAGAAATATATCATAGAAAAGCTAACTAACAGCTCTTTCTTCCTATGTAAAAATTGAATTGTTTAGTTAGGTTTGTGATGACAACAGTCTGTTGAATTTCCATAGCCTTTTTTTTAGACACCCTGTATAGTAGAGAGCGAGATACTGAAAAATACATAGTGAGATACAGTAAAGATATTGATCACTTGACTTTTAGTATTTATACAATTTTCTGCTTGGGACTATATAATAAACAGCATATATTTATTAATAAATAACATATATATATATATAAACAGACTCGTCCCCAGTCGTTATTTCAATTTTATAGGGACGAATAGGTATATATCCATATAGATCAGTACCAAAGGTGGACGCGCGCAAGGGGAAAATGGAAGGCGAGGGGGGAAATAACGACTGGCAGATTACGGAGACAAAATGGCAGACAATTTTACAACAAAAGAGGAAAGACTATTTTAATATACACCAGAGCGTTTTTAGCTGATAAACTCCCTTGTCCACATGAGAAATGTCAGTATAATTTATCTTGCCATGATCAAGATGGTTTAGACCACCATTACAGGACAATCCATAAATGTCCTGTTATTTCAGGCTTTCAGCTGATATTAAAATTTAAAAGGCGAAAAGTCTTATTGTGCCAGAGAACTGAGAGAAGCACTCAAAGGAAACACTGTCATGTTTGGAAAAGCTATCGATTAACAACCAATCGAAGGTATTCGTAAATCTAGAGTGTTGAATGCCTTTAATTGGAGCCAGTGATCAATATAAAAACAGGTATTTTATTCAATTTTATTTATGCATTTATATCTTTATATTTCATGATGAAATGCACTCTTAAACTCTTTGGATTATAAAGAAAACAGCTTTTTGCTGGGGTTTTTTTTTTGCAACCTGTGCATTTCACAATTTGGTTGCCGAAACTACAAATTTTTGTTATTTATAAATTACTTTATAAAGTGCTATTAACTCCAGGTTTTGTGTAATATGACTATGTGCCAACTTAAAACTTTGCATACAAGGCTATTAAATCAATGAGAAGACTTTTGGAGCATTCAAATATTTCCCAAAATACCTGTAAATAACAAAATATACCCCCTCCTCCTAAGTAATGTTGCTGTATGATGAAAAGACATTACATTGGCCATTAACTCATTAACGCCCAATGCGCCCGTATGCGCCCTGAGATTGACAAGTGGGTAACGGACAATGCGCCCGAATGCGCCCTGGCATGACACCTTAACTTGCGGGCATGATATTTGAGCACATGTTTATCGGGTTGCCTAGCAATGGATACGAAAATAGAACGTGAAATTCGAGCTTTTCAACGGTGTATCATGCAAGGAAATCGGTCAGAAACTCGCAAAGTTTTTCAAGTTTAAAATCTTAGTTTTCCAAAAATAATGAATAATGGCGATTCTGTTACAAAGAATGATTTTACAGCAAGTTTTAAAAGCAAGAAAAGAAGAGGTTTCTGAATCAACTACAACGGAAATTTGGCATGAAAGGAAAGCGAATGTATTGACGTTTTGGGGCCAAGTTTTTCTGTGAACCATGCGCGTGATTTTCAGCCAAAAAGATGAGGATTTCTCCAATAGAAGTCGGAAATCACAAGAAAGATGAACACGGAACACAAGTGAGCAGATACGATTTTTTAAAGGGTATTTTTGAGTAGAAACATGCGATCAAACACTCACAAAATTCGACTGCATTAATGTTGGTTGAATCTAGTTTAAAGTTATCTTTTTAGACGAACTGTTTATGCAAATTTGGGCACAATTTCGACTGTTTTCGTAACCCCATTGTTGGTCTTCTTGTTCAAGTTGTTATTTTAGCTACAGTATGTTTCAAACGACACCAGATTAAATTACTGTGTGCGTACGTGCCCTATTTGGCAAGAATACTTCGAGTATTAAATTACACTAAGTAAGTAGGATACTCCAAAATCACTGTTATATCTATTTTCATCAATTTAGTCTTAAAATGACAACTCGTTTCAGACATATTGTGGTTTGAAATAAGTGTATTGAATTAATGCGCTTGCTCGCCGCGTGCGAATTCTCAAAAAGTCCGCACTTGAGTTCTAAAGCTTTTAAAATGCTTTTTGTATTGGGTTTTATATCCCCATAAAACTTTAAATCGATAAGGCAGATAGTAATGTTGATCCAACCTCATTTTCTAGTAACTACATGTTGAATCAGAAGGAAAAGTTATCAAAATTTGGTCGTGACGGTTGTTTGCCGTTGTTGTCGCTTCTCTCTGAAATGAAAACTGAAGTCCCAACAAAAACATAATTTAGCCGTCCTTTCGGGCCCATTGCTCGCTTATTTATCATGAAATCGTTTCACTAGAACATTTTTAATAATGTCTATGGGAAACTTTGTAATTTTCTGAACTAAAATTTAGTTTATGGTTTTGAGGTGTTTATTTTATAAAATAGCACGCGCGACAAAATGGCACTAATGTGGTTTCTCATGTCTGACAAACAACCAAAGATGAAAGTCCTTATTTCACCCTTTTATAGCTATGTTGAATACCTGACTATTAGGTTATCTTTTTCATTTGAGCATACAGATAACATTTCTACACAATTAATCCTAATGAAAGCTTATTTCAAACTAAAAAAAAGCGATTGTTTTTCAGAGCCAGACTTCAAAAGAGAATGCATGTCTGACATTTTATAGCAGCCTACATTGGCGCGCAAAATAATTTTGGCTAAAAACCGTTTCTTTCCAAACAGAAACATGAGAAAATTGAGCTAAAAGGCTCACCTGATGTACGTTTAAAATGTTTTTCTCTTTATGGTGTTTTTCAGTGCTTTGAGTAGAGAAGTGACTAACGTTTGGTTTTGTCACCGCAATTTGCCTTTGAAAATGTCGGCTGTCATTGTCTGTGTTAAAAACACCTCAGAAAATTCCTATTTTCTCACCTTCCCATCCTTGGTTTATATTGAAAACAAATAGATTCTAGTACCGTATGTCCTTTTAAATATATTTGAGGTAATTAAAAACTCCAAAGATGTACAAGCACTGTGTTTTGGCTTGCACACTTTGTTGAATTTTAACACTTAGTTACTGTTCTAAATTTCATGTTGTAAACATCTTGCCCAAAAAAGCAAAGGAGTATTTTTATAATTTTTGATCATTTTCTAATTCATATCCCAATAGATGAAAATTGGTTATAATATAGATATGTACTAATTTAGTAAATAATTTTTTTTTTGGTTTTTATATAAATATATGGAGATATTGCCCCTTTAGGTGATGAGTGACATGAAAACTAGGGATCCAAGGATAGTGTGAAGTTTCGAATTGAAAAGACAATTCAGGAACTATATATGGTCGCCGACAACCTAGAAAAGCTGATGGCTTACATCTCATTATTTACTGCTTTTAATACGCTCGGCACACGAGTAGCGTGACGTTTGAAATAAGCCTAACACATAAGAAACTTGCCTTGTGAAACTGATGCAATTCATCTATTTATTGTGATGCTACACGATGCTACACGAGACAATTCAAAATTTAAATGGTTTCGCCAACAACCAAATTTTGCATATTCTAAATTTTCATTTGCATTTGCAGCTGTCGCTAAAAGCTCCCCACGAGGCTACTGCTATGCTAAATTTATCTAAAACTATAATTGAAATAGCTGTGTAAGATATGTTATGAATAATAAGGACTACGTCGTTACATCATTAAAAGGACGCATTTTATTCTCATCCGTTCC